GACACAACTGAAACAGCTCAAGTATACAACAACACAAGTCTATCATTGACTATTTTACAGTTTCAAGAGTGTGTTCTGAGACTGTTATATGTTAATTGCTTTATGTGTATATTTTCCTTTCACACCATGCCCAGTAGGAACAGCTAAATGTAAAGAAAGGAAGTCATACAATTGTGATGAATAGATCCACTCCAAATTAATATTATCTAATTAATAATATCAACTGGGACCTCAATGTTGCACAGCAATACTGTTATTTTTTTCCCTTTTGCCTACCTCCCTCCCTTTTGCTGATGCAAATCTTTTTTTTCCCTCTTCTCAAGTATCCTACAGTATCCCTTCTATTCTCCCTCTCAGCAGAAGACCTCACCTCTTTTACTGAGAAAATTAAGGCCATTTACAGTGAACTCCCTCTTCTCCCTGTTGCATACATTAAAACTCTTACATCATGTCGTCTTCTCCTTTGTAAGGCCAATTCCTCTATTAGAGTTATTGGTTCCATTCCTTCTTATCTCTTATCAATCACTAGTGCTTACTATGTACTAATGGCAGTACATACAACCATATACCCACACACCCACAATGGTCTCTGTCCTCATGGAGCTTCTATTATAAACTCCTCCTCTAGGAATTTGTACTTAAGATTATACTCACTTTTTCTCTTCCCCTTCATTTCTTCTTATCTATTGACTCTTTCCCTGCTGTCAACAAACCTGACTTGCTCTCCACTGTTCTTCAGATAGGGAGGGAAGAGGAGGTGGAAAAGGCTTCCTGCAATTGAAATGTGAGCTGGAGTCTAAACAAAATCAAAGAAACCAGGAGGTAGAGGTGAGCAGGGAGAGCATTCCAGGAATGGGGAATAGCCAGTGAAAATGTCCAGAGTCAGAAGACCAAATGTCCTAATTGACAGTGTTACTGGATCTGTGTACATAGCGGAAAGTGTAAAAAGATTATAAAAGTAAGAAGGGACCAGGTTACTGTTTTAAAAGCAAAAGAGATGATTTTTATTTGATCCTGTTGGTAAGAGGGAAGCATTGGAGTACATTGAGTAGGGGGTCAGATCTGAGCTTTAAGAAGATCAATTTCGCAGATGAGTGAGAGAGACTAAGGTAGGGAAACCAAACAGAAAGCTATTGAAATTCATGGGATAACCAGTTCAAAAGGTCCTAGAGACAGTTCATGACGTGAGACCAGAGCACAAGAGAGAAGTTGGGGCAACAGTATGACTGCTGGGTCAAGGTTATAAACAGTTTAGTAACCTTACTAAAATAAGGAATAAGGGGACAGCTAGGTGGTGCAGTAGATAGAGGACTGGGCCTGCGTTCAGAAAGACTTATCTTTCCGAGTTTAAATCTGGCCTCAGACACTTATTAGCTGTGTGACCCTGAGCAAGTCACTTAATCCTATTTATTTATTCCTCATCTGTAAAATGAACTGGAGAAGGAAATGGCAAACCACTCCAGTATCTTTTGCTAAGAAAACTCCAAATGGGGTAATGAAGAATTGAACACGACTGAACAACTACTGTATAGAAAAGTAACTTTACTTAAAAGCATTTTTTTAAAGAATGGTAACTTTTCAAAGCAATACTAGTTCAAGCACTAGAACACTTAGCATGAAGAACTATAATTAATTATGTCTACTTAAAATCACTTTTTTTTGTCCTCTTCCTGCCTGAAATATCAGGACTGACAAGAGGTCGCTGTTAATATTAACAATAATATTAAAATCAGAACAGATCTTAAACACAAAGCAAGCATAAAAAAATGTAATGGTAGGCAGCCTGAAAAATAGAAACGATGATTGTTTTAACAGTGGAGCCCTAATACAGTAGTTCCCCATTTAGAGTACAGGAAGTTTAAAAGTTTCATGACTTGAATCATCATTATAATAATAGTTCACATTTAAATAGGGTAAAGTGCTTTCTTCACAATAACTTCTTGAAGTAGTTAGGGCCAGTATTATCACCATTTTAAGGATGAAAAAACTGTGGCTCCGATGGGTTGACTTTCTCATAGTCCCATAGTTAAGAAGCTTCTGGCTTCAAGTCATTGTTTTTTACACTATGCTATGTAGGTTCTCATCATACAACTATAACATGGCAAACCTGTTAGGGACCTTAGAGATCATTCATCCCACCCCCTCATTTTATAGATGAAAAAACTTGGCCCATTGAATTTGCAACAAGATAGCAGCAGAGACTGGCTTGGAATTCAAGTCAACTTCAGTTTAGCTCTTAAGAACTAACTTTAAAGTAACTGTATCTAAATCTGTATCTTTTAGGTGCTTAGCAAAGTGCACACAGTAGGCATTTGATAAATATTTGTTATTGTTTTCCTGCACAGGCTCTAAGAGCCATTGGTCTGAACAAAATTTTAGTAAAGATGAAGAAATAGAAATAAAATTAATTTTTGAGTTCTGTATTTATTGTGTTTTTTTTAACTATTTACCACTAAGATGAATAACCTTTTTTTTCACCCTTGCCAAAAGTTTATCAGTGAAAACAAATTTTAAATGGTTTTACAATTGTAGGGAAAAGATCCTAACGATCAGAACAGACATTTTCAAGGAAAAAGGGAGTTGGTTTTGGTTACATGGAAGGACTTTTCCAGCTCTCAGATCTTATGTATAATCAAGTCAGCTTTAAGCAGATTGTATGTTAGTAACGTATGTCGCTAAAAGGTCCAATTCTGAGTTGGTTTGCATAGGAGCATTTGGTGAGAAGGTGCAAGGATCACAGTCATTATACTACTTTAAAAAATGCTGTTGGGTTCTTCCTTATAACTGATGCGCTGTGCCCCAAGTTTCGTCTCTTTATCTGGTGACCCCTGGTGCTCTTAGCTGGAATAACCTCGCATAAGAGCGTGGACCAGTGGGGCCCACAGACTTAGAGGATGCTAGCACAGTTAAAACATTTCCTGTTTGAACTTTACAAGGCCGGATTTTGTCAGTGTCCAGTATTAAAGAGAACAACAACAAAACCCAACAAAACTTCCCCCAACAAAAAAAACCAAAAAACCCAGCCCAGTCATAAGTCATATGCACATATAGAAGGAAAGAAGAGCAACGGACCCCAAAATTGCAGCGAAGGTTGAAACAAATTCTGGACAGTAGTTGGTGCAAAAGAAGTGAAAACAATCTCTCTGCCCCACTCCCCCTCCCCGGTACTGGCAGGTTTCAACTCACTTAATTTGTTTTGCTTTTTAAATGAGGGAAACTTATTTATTATTCTCTGGACTCCCGGCTCTCAGAAACATTTTTTCCATAGTGGGATCTAGAGAAGGAGCTGAGAAATGGCCTTAACTGGCATTGGGAGGGAGGGGGATGGGATAATTTTCATGGTTCTTTCCTCTCTCCAATCATTAAAGCTCCAATGGTCCTTATGAGACCTCTTGTGCAATCTTCCCAGAGTCTCTCCCATCCCCTAGAAGGAGTTTGTGGCTTCCCAGGCTTTGTGAGCACGGACTCTGGTTATCCTTCTGTTTCTGCTTTTTCCTCCACCCTCACGCCCCTACAGTCACTCAATATCTACTTCTGCTCTCTCCATTAAAACTGAACAACAGATCATTTTCCATTGCATGGCAACCCCAAGAGGGCTCTAGCTTCAGCAGAGCATGATGGGAGGCTCTTTTAACTCTCACTCATTCCCTTCCCCCCTACCCCCATTTCTTTTCCTTCCCCTCCTCCAGAATTAATTCCTTAATAATGTATTTCTTAGGTAGCGCAGGGTCCCGGATGGATATTAGAATCCACAGTAAGGCTCGACCAGCCAACCCGAAGCATAAAGCGGGGCGGTTTCCCGAACAAACTACAACTCCTAGGAGACACTGGGCTTCAAACTGCCGCAGAGCACCACGGACATCGTAGGCCACCTGCCCCACGTTCCCTTCGAAGTACTGGTCGGAGAAAACCACAAATCCCATGAAGGCCTGAGTGCTAACAAGCCTGCGCGGCAGACAGAGGGAGGGAGTCACGGTCGGGAGGGGCGGGGCAGTACAGCCCCGGGGGGGCGGGGCCCGAGGGGACTGTGTGGAGGCTTCTGGCTCCCGGCGCCATTTAGCGCGGAGTTTCTCAGGCGGACGCGCTGCTTCTCTTCCCTCCACCCAGCCCCACCTTTCCCGGTGACAGAAGGTGCCAGGTGGGGGGTGACGATTCCTTCTCTTCCCCCCCCACCCCTCCACCCAATCCCCTTCGCCTCCTTAACTCCCCGAGCCGGGGGAGCGGCGGAGCGCGAATCCCCTCCCTACCGACCCCTCCCCCCTCAGCCCTGAGGCGCCCGGCACCGGCCCGGGAAGCGAAGGGTTTTTTTGCTGGGCCCAAGGCTGGCGGGCAGGCCTCGGGGAAGGTGGGGTCGGTTCCACCGCGGCCGTGACTTCGATCTTTCCCGTCCGGGCGGCCTGATGGGCACCCAGTGAGGTGGGAGCCGCTTCTGGCCACCCCACCCCCCTGGCGGGGGCGTGTGTAGGAGGAAGAGGGGCGCGACTGACTGAACCGCCGGGAGCCTTCGACCCTGTTCCGTCCCCTCCGCCTTCCTTGGCCCCTCCCCACACTTTTGCCCGGGACCTGGGCGAGGAGACGCCGCCGCCCGCCGGTGGAGTCGGAGCAGGCGTTCCTCCCGCAGCTCGTTGCTGCCGCCGCCCTCGGGGCCTACTAGCCCGCCCTGCTGGGGGTGGGGGGAGGAACGGGACGGTGTGTGGTGGTTGTAGGGAGCGGAGCCGCCACCGACGACGCCGCCGCCGCAGCCGCATCCGCTTCCACTCGTAGCTGTAGTCCTGCCCTCTCATGACTGCGGTGCCTCAGCTCCTTGTTCCCGCCCGGCCGCCCCCAGCCGCAGAATGGATGCGGAGCGTGAGGCGCTAACTCCCCCGGACCAGCGCCTGGAGCCCCAGCCAACGAGCCCACCCGAGCAGCAGCAGCAGCGGCGGCGGCGGCACCACCTCCAACAGTCGGGCCCAGCGTCTCGCCTCGCCGCTCGGGAGACTCGTCGGTGCTGAGCGGGAGCAGCCGTTGCTGGTCGGGAGGAGAAGCTGCGGTCGCTGCCTCGGCCCGATCTTCCGTCTCCTTCCTTCATCCTTTTGGTCTCCCCTCCCCCCACCCTTTCCCATTCAATTCTTGGCCCTGTCTGCCTCTCGCCAGCGGACTGACCATGTCTGGTGGCTCTGTCGAGAAGCAGACCGGTCCTGCGGGGCCCCGCTTCCTCTCGCCACCGGCCGTGCCCCCGAAAAATGGTTCGAGTTCAGATACTTCAGTCGGGGAGAAGCTGGGGGCCGCCGGGAATGACCCCGGCGCCGGCAGGACTGAAGAGTACCGGCGGCGCCGCCACACGATGGACAAGGACAGCCGAGGGGCGGCCGCGAACACAACCACCACGGAGCACCGCTTCTTCCGGCGGAGCGTGATCTGCGATTCCAATGCCACGGCCATGGAGCTGCCCGGCCTCCCTCTGTCTTTGCCCCAGCCCGGGGCTGCCGCAGCCGCCGCCGCCGCCGCCCCCCCGCTGAGTCTTGCCCCGGAGCCCCACCGGGAGGAGCACTCGGCTGCCCCAGCAGTGTCTCTGGCGGCCCCACAGCCTCCGGCCCCCACTGCCCCTGCGGACCATCCCGACGGCGGCCCGGCCTCTGCCGCCGGCCGCGACCCTACCGTCAAGCATGCCCCAGCTGCTGCAGTCTCCAACCATGTGGGCAGCAAAGAGGAGCCTGCGGCCGCCAGCAGTGGCAGCGGCGGCGGCGGCGGCGGCGGCAGCAGCACCCGGGAGCAAGAGGAACGGAGCCAGCAGCAGGACGACAATGAGGAGCTGGAGACCAAGGCTGTGGGGATCTCCAACGATGGCCGCTTTCTCAAGTTCGACATCGAGATTGGCCGAGGGTCCTTCAAGACCGTATACAAAGGCCTGGACACCGAAACCACCGTTGAAGTAGCCTGGTGTGAACTGCAGGTAAAAACCTACTTATTTTTTATTTATCTGGTTGAGGGGAAGGGTGGTAGGCTTGGGGAGAGAGAATAGGGTGGAAGAAACTGTAATATTTTGGAAGTAATCGTGCCAACTTGTGAAGAAGTTGTATCCTTTTGGTCACCACTTATCCATTTTTCTCTTTCTTCCAGCAGAGTTTAGATTGCTGTAGATAAGAGGAGGTTGGGTTTTGGAAGGTATGAATTAAGACTAGTTGAAGGTGCTTCGAGAGAATGGAGGTACTGAGGGAGTGATACCAATAGGGCTTACCAAAACCTGACTTGTATTATTGATGATACTGGTATTAGTGGCAGGGACTTTTTTTTATGAGTTAGTGAAGAGTCCCAGTTTTTTAGGAATAAAAAGATAGATACATCACTGGAAAGTACAGGATCATCCTTCAAAACCTTTACACTACTGGCCGTTTACCACTGATGAGTTGCATTAACTCAAGTGTACTAGATTATTTTTTCCCATCACAAGTTCAGCTCTCAATTCCAAAGACATAGAGCTTGCTCTGTCTTTATATTTGGATTCCTAGTCCGTATCCTAAAGGTGAATGCTGCTTAATGGCTACATACTTCGTATCTACATGCACTTAATACAAAAGTAGTAATTAACTTTAAAAGTTTCCTCCACCTGTTATTCCCGTCTCCCAGTTAAGTGCCCCCCTGAACTAGCAAGATACACAAGAATGTACATTTCATAATGTTTAAGCCATGTAGTTGCTGGCATTAAAATTTCTATTAGTTTTCAGTACATGTTCTGTGCCCAGCATACAGATGTCTCAAAGTGCTTTTAGAATTCTACAGTCTTCATTGTCTTATATTTGTTAGAAAAGTTCATTAAGCTACACTGCCCTAGAATCTAAAACATAATGTTACAACCTTTTAAAAGCTCTTCTGAGGTTGTCACCAGTGCCGTTGTCTTAAATGGTACACAGTTTAACTGACTAGTTGTCTTTACCAAATGTTCTGAGGGTACCATAAGTTGCTAGAAGAAGTTTGAGGCTTTGTTGAACCATATTATCCAAACTACTTATGAAAAATGCTCTGTTAGCCCTTTAAGTCTTAATGAAGTAGAAAAATGGGTCAAATAACATTAGAATATGAAAATAAGTTAAATAGCTATTAGTTAACAGCAGTTTGTGAATGAAGTTCTTCTATTTAAATGTTGAAATTGCTCTTGGCAGATGCTAAACCCTTAAGCCACAAGATAAATAGTAAGTGAAAAATTATCATATAGTAGATGGAAATAAATTCCTAAGTATATAGAGAAGTTCCTTAGAAACTAATGCTTCAGCAGGGTATATTCTTTAAGACCTAAATTGAATTTACTGTAAATGATATTGAACTTTTAATGAGAAACTCTTCAATTAATCAGTGCAGATTGAACTGTCTCTAATTTCTAATCTGAAAGAGTTGTTTAAAGCTCAAGAGATATCAAAATTTACTCATGACCACAGTTAGTATGTTTCAGAGTCAGAATTTCAACCCCTGTCTTCCTGATGCTGGGTCCAGCATTCCACTAATTATCCTGTACTTGAAAAAAGAATTCCCCTTCTATAAACTGACAGATTGCTATCTACTTTCTGCTTGAGATCTGTTGAGAGGATACCAGTAATTCCATTGGCAGGTTATTCTGTTTTGTTTTGTTTTTTTCCGACAGCTCTATTTTTCTTTACTCTCAAAATAATCTAAATTTTTCTTTGCATTAAGTCTGAATTTCTCTCTGCAACATGTATCTGTTGCTGGCTGTGCGTTTTTGGGTCACACAGAAGAAATATAACCCCTCTTACACCTGATGTTCGCGAGGTCCTTTACCAACTGATTGCCATCCTGTAGCCTCTTTCCAGCTTATCAATGGCCTTTTTAAAATGTTCTACCCAGCGTCTGAACATTTCCAGATATAGTATAACTACAGCACAGTAGGACTGTCACCTCTCTAGCTCTGAATAGGATGCCTGTCTTAACACAAATTTAGTTTGCTTTCAAGTCTTTTTGCTTGCTGTATAACACAGTTGACTTGGTTAACTTTTTTTTTTCTTTTTTTCCCAGACTACTGTGTAGCCGTGCATCCTGGATAGTACACTTGGGAAGTTTAGATTTTTTTTTTTAACTCAAGAGTGAGATCTTACATATACTTTCCATCTCTGGTCTCTTAGATAAGGGTACTTCTTTCAAAGCTCAGAAAGTTTTATTATACTTATCCCTATCCAGTTTTATCATCTTAGATTCTGAACACAAAATCTTTTTGGCTCTTTACTCTCACCCAGGGTATTAACTATTCCTCTGAGCTGTGTATCATCTACAAATTTTGATAAACATACCATCTGTGTCTTTGTCCAAAACATTGCTAAAAATGTTAAACAGCATAAAGCCAAGCACAGATTCCTAGGGCACTCAACTGGAGACCTAATCTCAAATTAACATCAGTAAATAAGCATTTATTAAGAATTATGTACTAGATATCTAGTCATTACTGATGACCTTTTCTCTCTGATCATTAAAGCAAATTTTAATTCATCTGACAATATCTAGCTCCTCAGGAATAGTGAGAGATTGTTATTTCTCAGTAAGCTGTATCTATAGCATTCCTTTGATTTACCAATTTATCAATCTTGTCAGAAAAAAAGGATATGAGTTTGGTATGATCTGTTCTTGATGAAGCTGTCCTGGCTCTTGGAGGTCACTGTTTCGTTTTCTGGATATTCACTAATCATCTCTTTCGGTTATATTATTTTCTCAGGAATTAAAGTTCAGTTTACTGGACTATGATTTCTAGGCTCTCTTTTTTTTTTTTTTTTTTTTGTAAATACATATCAGTATAATACTTGCCCTTCTTTAGTCTTCCAGTGACCTTTCAGTTCTTTCTGCTCAAAAATGTCCAGTTCTTGGAGTTCATTGGGTGGTAGTTAAACCAAGCATTAATGTCTTGCCCTAAATATATGTTACTGTATTCCAGATATTGTGCTGAAGATATAATTATAAAAGTGAGATAGTTCCTGCCTTCTAGGAACTTCTTTTTTTTAAGTTTTAAAATTTTTATTTGCTGTACAGTATTTATTTTTTTAAGAGCTTCTTTTCTAGTAGGGGGAATCAGTATGTTCATAAATAAGTAAATATTGGGGATACACCAGGTAAATATAGTGATTTGATGGGAGAGGACAGTAACAACTAAGTGCAATCAGGCAGGGCCTCTTGAAGGAGATGGAGCTAAGCCTTGATAGGCTCTTGGGATTCCAAGAGCTCAAGGTGGTTGTGCAAAGGCTCAGAGATGGAATGTTGTATGCAGGGAATAGCAAGTAGGCAGTTTGTTTGGAGTGAATAGTGAATAAGGGAGAGTGATGGATAATCAGCCTGCTAAGACAGGCTGGAGTTTGTTGGTAAAGGGCTATAAATGCTAGACATAGGAATTTGTATTTTATTCTAAAGACAGTGGAGAGTCACTAAAGTTTCTTGAGCAAAAGAATGGCATTGTCAGACTTGTGGTTTTAGGACTATCAATTTGGCAGCTGTGTGTGAAGGATGAATTGTAGACAGGCAGAGACTGGAGTCAGAAAGAGACCTCTTAGGGCTGTCTGTGCAGGCAAGAGGTGATGATGTTAGGGTAGATGTGGTGGGTAGAGAAAAGAGAATGGATAGGGAAGATGTTGAAAAGTTACAATCCACAAGACTGATTGGATGGGGTTTGGGCTTGGGAGAAGGGGAAGATGGGGAGTAATAAAGGAGAATGAAGAGTCAGGGATGATTCCTAGGTTTGCAAACTTGAGTTGAATAAAGTCAGTAAATTAGCAGGAAGGATGAGTTTAAGGGGAAAGGTAATGAGTACTTGATTTTGAGATGTTTGTGGAACATCCAGATGGAGATGTCTAGTGAGCAATTGGAGTTTTTAACAGTGTTGATGCTCAGGAGAGAGGGGCAGGCCTCATTTTATGAGTTCTTCGATTGCTTTTTAACTTCTCCCTTCTTATCTAGGATTTCAACTGCCTGTTAGCCCTTTTTGTTTTATCCTTGTGTTTCAAAAATTAATTCTTACTGGCAGAGAAAAAAAAAGCAAAATAAAAGTTAAGTAGTTCTACCTTCACTCCTGTCATCATTGTCCCACCTATTCCCTAGCAGCAGAACTACACCTTTGAGTTTCTTAAAAAAAAAAAATAAAATAAAACAACACTTTGTTTTTAGAATTCATTGTGAAACTCATCTCTTTCTGAGCTCTGGCATTGCTGGTGATATTTTAGGGCAGTGCTGTGCTTTTGTATTCCTTGTCTATTACCCACACTTGCTTTCATGTTTTGCACATTTCTTGTACAGTTTTAAGTTGGTTGTGTGTGGCCACATTGGTCTCTTTATTTATTTATTTATTTGTTTGTTTGTTTGTTTTTGCTTAGGCAGTTGGGATTAAGTGACTTGCCCAGGGTCACACGGCTAGTAAGCGTCAAGTGTTTGGTCTAAGGCCGAATTTGAACTCATATCCTCCTGACTTCAGGGCTGGTGCTCTATCCACGGAGCCACCTAGCTGCCCCCATTAGTCTCTTTAGATAGCTCTTCTTCATTGGAATTATTTTTATCTTCAGAATATCACTCATGAATTTTCCATCCCTTCTCAGCTGATTCCCAATTTATAATTTTTTTAGATATAGAAATCCTACTTATTCTTTCTCTAACCTTTTGAAATCTGTTTTTCCCCACTACAGCCCATCTTCATCTCAGTTGCCAAATTGATCTTGGCAGATTGATGGCAGGCCAATATGTTTTTCCCCTTTCTCTTCCTTTTCTTTCCTTTCCCTTCTTCTCCATTACCCTGCTTTCTCACCTCTAAAATCCTCTGTTGGATATTCGGAGTCTTTCATAACCCGGCCTTAGCTACCTTTCTAGTTTTTCCCTACTCTTCGACCCATTGACAGTTGACCTCAGTCTTTTTTGAACAAGATGCACATCTCCTGATTTTTATTTTTACTGGCTATTTGGATGTCCTGGATATCT